CAGCTACCGGGGGAAGGGTCAGAGGGGGAGCAGCTGGCATGGCCGGAGGGGGAACGGTTGGAGCGGGAACGGCCCAGTGGACCGGTGGACCGGCCGAGAGACAATGAGAGACAACAGGAAGCGGATCCGGCTATGCCGGAGCCGCGACGCAATGAGTCAGCCGCGAGTGTGGTGTCCAGCACGCAGGCGCAGGTCGCGCCGTCCAAGGTCGAGCAGCCGCCGGAGCCGCGGCCGCAGAAGCCCAGGGCTGCGCCGCCGGGTTTGGTCGAACCCGCGCGCGCGGAACCTCTTCCCGCCGAGCCCATCGGCGACGCCGTCATCCCGGTCCGCGACATCCCACCCAAACCGGCCGACGCCGACGCGCGGCGCGAATCGGTCGCGCGACGCCGGAGCACGCGGATTACAGAACCCACGCCCAGGAAGTCCGCCAAAGAAAGAGAAAGTAAGCAGCACATGGGCCGAACACCTGCACACTGGGGTCCGCTGAACAATCGATCTACCTGTCCTGCTACCTACCTTCCTGTCTACCAAGCTGCCCGCCCTCCTGCTCCTCTGCCTACTTGCCTATCTGTCGATCTCGGGCGGCTGATCTGCGTTCCGCACCGCGCGCCCTGTTGCCCCACTGGCTTGACCCTTCTCTCTTTAGGCCAGGACGAGGGTCGACGGAAGAAAGGTAAGGTTTCTTTTTTAGTTAGATTTTTTGGCAATGGGGAGCCCCACACGGAATGCGCCTGCAGCGGCGGGAGGACGAGGAGCGCCGGCGGCGGCGAGCGGAAGAGCGGAAGGGATGTCGTCGGCTTCGTCGGCCTCCCTAACTTCGGACAGCGTGTACGAGACGATTTCGGCGACGCCGGTGGAGCCGACGGCCGCGGCGAAAAGCCGGCCGGCTGCGAAGCCCCCGGACGTGTGGTCTTCGCAGTCGCTGGTGGGTGTGAGCGTCTCGCCGCGGCTGGTGGCGCTGCGGCAGCACCAGAGCATGATCGAGTACGGTGCGGCTGTGGCGGAGGTGGCCGCGCGTCCCGAGGGCGGCTCTCCGCGGGTGCTCTCCACTAGTCGTGTACAGCGATACCCCTTCCCCCCTCCCCCTTCGGCTGCGGCGCTGGCGCCTTCGTGGGGCGCCACTCCATCCCGCCCGGCCAACACACGCGCCGCACCCTACGCAGCCGCGAAGCTCATCCCGAAGACGGCGCTCCGCCCACTCGCAGCCCCCCCG